TCAGGTAATTAGTTGAGTTCCAGAGCTAACGTTTTATACATGTTCTGGCCAGTGAAAAATGCTCAGCGTGCTTTCTCAAATCTGGAAATACTGAGTTGAGTGAACAGGAATCAGCTCATGATGCACAAAGTAAGCTTCAGAGGCGATCTATGGCAAATCTCTGTAGGTGGATGAGGCAGCCTTAGCCCCAAAGCTGACAGTTGGCTTGACTGATTCATGGTTTGTGCTTTCACACGCAACCCCTCTGTAGGATAATTACAACTGATTAGAAACTGTCAGTGATGCAGTGATTGTAGGGAACAATGTCTTGTACTGTAGCTGTGATATTACTTCAAGTTTCTGCTTTTTGCAAAAAGCAATTGAGTCACAACAAATGATGATGGATAGAGTTTACAAATCTAATTGTCTCTCATTTAACTCAGACTTATAACATTTACAGTCTTACTATTTTCATTGCACTATTTGCGTGTGTATGCGTGTGTTGCACGTTCTGGTAGTTTGCATAGAAGAGGTGAAGAGTGGCAGTGACTGATTTCCACTGTGCAATGTTGGCATCATCTTCACAGTATTGTGAGCAATCTATCCCCTTCCTACACCTGATCACCTCTGCTAATCTTTAGGCGATGTTTCAGGTGCGCACATCAAATGGCCTTGTAATAATTTGTTTTACTGTGGACTGGTTACTGAGGATTTATTAGCATTTGCGTCACATGTTGTGCATGAGGTGGAACGAAATTGTGTACACAAGGTCCCAGTTACATACAACAATAGCAAAAATATAAAGTGTAAAAAGAAACAGTAATAAGCTGTTATTTATTTGAGCTGGATCCTGCCAGAACAAAATCTGGGAACTCTCTTGTTTTGTCGGGGTGCGTTCCAGCAACTGTTTGCTTTGATCCAGCACCTCTCAGGCTTATTAATAAAAAAAGTTATGAACAATTAAGACTGTCTTATCATTTGGGGAGCCATGCTTGAACCGTGTCGCTCCCCTCTGCTGCTGCAATAATAAATAAATAAATCAGACACATCCTCAGTCCTTCACTGCTGTTTTTATGATGCTCTGGACGCTTGTCACCAACAGCATGCATGTGACAAGGAGTAAACTCAAAGTGAGAGTGTTACCTGACCTCTCTTTCCTCTTTTGCATTGACAACATTTTTTAGTTTTATCAATGAGTTTGTCAAAGCCTGATTTTGATGTTTGTTTGGGTTTTTTTTTGTAAATGCAGAACTAAACTAACGTTTAATAAATGTTAGGACTCTAGTCTTTGCTAACAAAATATATTTTATGTCATTAAAGGACTTGTCAGGTTCTTCTCTTGTGAGTATAAGCATCCCCCAGGACCCCACCCCCCACACAGCCAGCCTGCCCACTATTTACGTTCCGGCATCGATCCGTTTACAAATTAAGCCCTGGTAATAAGGATTTAAAATATAGACTAAGAAATACTCTAAACTAAGAATACGTTAAACACTAACAGTGCAAAAACAATATGCCGAACAACAGCAGCACAAACATGAGTCTGTGTGAGCAGATGAGTACGAATGAACACAGCAGCATGAAATAATCAGCAGCATCAGATCAGCAGCATGAAATAATCAGCAGCATGGATAGTCAGCAGCACATATCACCAATCAAAATGGCATTACAGGGATTTATTTTATTTTATTTTATATGGCATTCCAGTAATGCCATAGTCAGACTCACCTGTGTCTGCTATTTAGCATGCAAGCTACGTAGTAAAATTATTTGTTATAGAAAACAGTTTATCCAAAGTTATCCACGCTATTAATACACAGATGCAAATTTAGCAAATAAAGCAGTAGTGATTACATCTTGCAAGGAGAGCATGCACCGCCCAGCAGGAAGGTGCTGCATTGGCAGGTTCTATGTGAAATTACACATTTTGCTGAGTGAACGTAAATATGTGTTTAGCAGAGACAAGTAAAGCAGACAACAAGAAACTTTTTGATGTTTTTAACCCCTAACTTTGATGCAGCCTCATTTACAAGTGTCTATAACTTCACGGTGCCACAAAAAGATGGATCAATGCAGAAAAATATACAGTAAAAAATGACACACAGTGTCTTTCCAGAAAGATGTTGAGACAGTAAATAATTGAGAAGGGCAGCCTACTTTACAGGAAGCATGATTCTCCACTGATTACCCATGACTGTTGAAGCATGTGTGTGAGTTTATTTTTTTTTTATTTACTGATGAAAATGATGTCAAATATCATGCACTTAAAAGGAGATAAGGGAAAAAACTGCATGAAAAATGGTATAACACAAGTTTATTACTAAACCATGCATCAAAGTTTTTTATTCTCAGTCCATATAAATAAACAGGCATCTTGAGCAAAATTTAACAATACAAATATTTGTACAGTATTGTCTGTAAAGCACAATTGATACTATTTGTCCATCAGAAATATACATTCTTATGTATTTTATGATGAATAAAATGCCTTTATGATAATCCTCCTCTGCATATTTGCATTACTGTGTGCACTCAGCCTCATTCACTCAGTGCTTGAAAAACATGCAGCATCTATGTAGACACGCCTGTTTGGACTTAACGCTGTTTGTGCGCCTCAGTTCTACAGCAGTGCAGCTTGTTAAATGGAGCATTATTTTTGTTCCTAAGCGAGAAGATCAAATGAGGGCTGGCAGACCCATAAGCTTAGAAAACAGCACTTAGTGTTGCTCTGATGGAATACAAAATGTTGCATTTTAAATTCTGAAAGATGAAACAAAACAAAAAGATTTTTGCTCCTTTTTTGAAACACATTTAGTGGGCTTCACTTGGATGCAGAATTCTGTAAATTATGTGCTTTAAATTTTACTTTGATAAAAGTAAGTTACATGCACATCAGTAGTCCCTCGTTTATCGCGGGGGATCCATACTCTGAAGCCCCGCGATAAGTGAAAAACCACAAAATAGGAATAGTAGTACAAGTAGTAAGTAGTAGTTTATATATATATATA